AAGTTAGTTACGGGAGAAGCATTCATCTACAACTCCACTTAATTAAGTTTGTTTTAAGTGCATAAAGAAAGTCGCATTCATACTAATAAGTAATTGACCTAGAATCGAGTATCGAGGCGTTACATCGAGCAGAATAAAAGTACTTATCACAGCATTTTTATGCTCAAATTAAAAAAAAAAATGTACGATCACTCAAAGCCAAACTGACCTTCCTTGCTATTTTTATACCCTGTACCCGTAGGGTAAAAAGGGTATATTAGGTTTGTGCAAAGTATGTAACATACAGAAGGAAGCATCTCCGACCCCATAAAGTATATATATTCTTGATCAGCATGACGAGAGAAATCGATCTAGACATGTCCGTCCGTCTGTCCGTCCGTCTGGATGAACGCGAGGATCTCAGAAACTATAAAAGCTAGAATAACCAAAGTTGGCATCCAGATTCTCCTAGGTCCGAGAAAGGACGAGTTTATTTTATTTTTTGGAATTTTCCCTCCCTTCCCCCGCTACAGAATTTCGTCAATAGCGTCCACATTTCAAATGCTACCTAAACCAAACTTTGCACACATAATTTCTATACAATTCTCTACTGTTGTATAAAATTTTATTCAATTCGGTCACTTCTAAGAAAAGTTATTAGCAAAACAAATTCTCGCCAGTACAACCCCCCCAAACTGCAGCAACAAGTTCGCTCTTCTTCTTCCTCTTTTTGCTGCTGCTTTGGGCGCATATAACTCAGTGACGGAAGTTTACATGGGTACAGGGTATTACACTGTCGGGCTTGCTCGACTGTAGCGTTCTCTCTTGTTGTGACTAGAAACGTGCTTTCTAATATAAGGTGCGCGAAATAAGTAAGTAGGACAAACACATTTATTGTTGTTGCATTTGCACTATGCATTTTTTGCATTTCATCTTCCCACCATAATTTGTTTACTCTTTGCTCTCAAAGTGGCATATAAAATATTTGATAAGAACCGTTAGGTTGTCCCGTTATGCCTATTAATAGCCGGACTACCTCACTTTTGCGTGCGAAATAAGTAAGTAGGACAGTTTAGTCTTTGTTGTGATGCAGCTATTGTAACACGTAAGTTTCCAGATTTTTGAATTAAATTTATCGTTAAACGATAAAACAAATCAAAAGAAGTAAGTTTTTATAAAAACCACTGTTTTTCAGAGGAATAATACGATTTTTTTGGTAAAGACATGTCGGTTTTCAGCCGTTTAACTGATGAAGACCATGGTCAAATACAGGCACTTCGAGAAATGGGTATGTCGATTCGGAAAATTTCGGAGAAAGTGCGCAGAAGTAAACGTACTGTGGAAAATTTTCTGAAAGATCCACAAAATCATGGTAAAAAGCCACGTTCTGGTCGCCCGCCACTAATAAATTCTCGTGATGTTCGAAGAATTAAATCCCTGGCGGTCAACGAAAATATTACTGCCTCACAGATTCGGCATGAATTGTCTCTTCCAGTGTCCAGTAGACGAGTACAACAAATTTTACAGTCCTGTGAAAACATTTCATATGAAAAAAAACTCCTTAAACCAGAACTACTTGCTCGACACAAAGCAGCTCGGGTGCAATTTGCCGACTCGTACAAATTTTGGGACTTAGAATGGCGGAATGTTATATTTAGCGATGAAAAAAAATTTAACTTCGGCGGCCCGGATGGATATCGTTATTATTATCGCGATTTACGTAGTCCAAAGTCCGCGTTTGGCTATAATGGAAAGTCTCCTATTTGTTTTGTGACACATTCCATGAATGCCGAATATTATGTTGAACTGTTAGATTCAGTTTTGGTAAACTTTGGGGAGGAATATTTTGGAGATGTATGGACATTTCAGCACGACAATGCGAGAATCCATACTGCAAAGCGCACACAAACTTTCTTTGCGGAACAAAAAATTGCAGTTTTGAAGTGGCCAGCTCGAAGCCCAGACCTGAACCCTATTGAAAACCTTGGGGCATTTTATCTCAGCAAGTGTACATAAATGGAAAAGAAAACAATTGTCTAAAAGACTTAAAAGAATCCATTATTGAAGAATGGGGCAAATTGGAAATTTCTATCCTTCAATCTTTAATAAATTCTATGCCAGGACGAATATTGGCCGTGTTAAATAAAAAAGGAGAGTCAATTTAAACTCTGTATATTAAATTAAGGCGTTCTCTTAGAAATAAAAATCAAGAAGTACGATTTTTTACTTTGTCCTACTTACTTATTTCGTATGGATATATTTTATTTTATTTTTTTTATCTATTATTTTTATTTGTATGGCCTTGCCAAAGACTCATATGAATTGTTAGCTATTTAAGTTTCAAAAAAAATTTATTTGGTTGAAATATAATATATAGTTCAGTTGTTACGTTAAAAAATGTGTTGTCCTACTTACTTATTTCGCGCACCTTACTTATAGTACATATTTTTGCTAAATTTGATAGTCCATAACAGCTGGTAATGGAAAATATATAACCATGAATGAAAATATTTTAAACTACTCCTTACAAGGAAAAGCGAAAAAGGAAATTAATTTGGTGAAATGGTGGCAGCATAAAAAGATAATTTGGCTGTCAATAATCTGCTTTAGACAATCATCTGTTCAATCAAATATATATGGAGCACAATGTGTTAAAAATAAGTGGTTTCTTGGCTTGTCTCTCTTTCGAAAGCTATTTTCTTCGTTTCATAAAAACAGCAACAAATCTTTCATAGCCCGCAAATAAAAATATATGCGTTTATGTGGAATGAACCGAATACAAAAATAAATAAATATATATATATATATATATATAGTCCAATTGGGCTAATACCAATATTTAGCTTGTCTATATACTATAATGTGCAAATTCAGCGCATCTAGAGCGCTTCCATTAGGTTGATTTGAAAGTGCAAAAGAAGCCGATAACTACGAAAGTTTGCATGAAGTTAGATGCAGTTTTTATGGCACTTTTCATGGCCTCGGAGGAAACTTTTGGTAGCAATCACAACCGAGCACAGCTTTGCAGCTCAAGAGCAGACTCTGCCTGGCAAGTCTTGTCCGTTGCGTTTTGCCACAAAGTTGTGAGGAGAGTACGCAAACGATTTATTGCTAGACAGCTGAGTGGTTTGGCCAAAATCGCTTAACGACCACAACTGACGTGCGGTTTATTATTTATGTGCGATTTGTTGGCCAACAGAACGCTGAAGTGCCGGCCTCAGCTGTTGGGGGAAAATGGTTCGGTAAAAAGCGTTTTCAGTTTAAGCGATGAACCGCAAGTGTGCTGGAGAGGTGTGAAAGAATGCAGGCCCACCCAAACAGGCTGTCTGGCTTTTCCCCGGAATAGACGCATTACTCTTCTTCAGCAGCACAAGAGTTGTTGAGAATTTGCGATTAAGTAAATGTTTATGAATGCGCAAATGAATTGCATTTATTCAGCTTTTTCTTCAATGAACAATGGCATGCAGTAAATGCCAATATAAATAATACTATATTCCTAGAGTTGGGGCTAGCAGGAAGCCTACAATGTGAGGAGGATCTGGTCCGTACAGTCTTTCTCACTTTGGGGTTTCAATATATTTTCCACTTCAAGTGTCCGTCACTTCTCGAATTCCCACTTTCCTGATGAATGGCGATCTCAAGTGCTGAAGACTGCGACCAATAAACAAAACTGGTACAGCGACCAATTGAACCAATTTCGGGATGAATAAATGGGCTTTTGATGAGACAGCAGCCATTTTGCGGTCCTCAACGCAGAAGAAACCTGCGTAGGCAGCAGAGCCCACAAATTAAAAACTCTCGAGTCTTGAGTCACTTGTTTTTGCAATTAGCACGTTCCCGGTCTGCAGCAGCATTTCGAAAGAGGCGAAATAGTACTGCTAGCGAAGATTTTCAATGTGAGATCATCGGGGCAGACAAATATATATTTAAAAATATATATTTATTGATAACAGGGGAGCTAACAAGTCGGTGCATTTGTGATGGACAAGAAAATTAAAACCGGTTTGGGAAAGTTGTCTTGAACTTGTATGCCAAAACAAAAGAAAGAAAGAAGGAAAGAAAGGTTATAACGTAATGTAACGTAACGTTAGCTGCTTGGCAGTTAGCTTACCTTTAAATTTTGGCAGTAAATCCCATGGCGTTGACTTCTCTCTTTCTCTATGATGATGATTAAGATTCGTGCAATTCAGCGGCGTTTTTTAGATACACAGTAAACAGTTAACCGCAACAACGGAGACGTCATCCCCAACAACAACAACAACAACAAGAGCAACAGCAACAACTTCAGTTAACACAAAACAAACGATGAATCACGACTTTATTACCTGGCGGTTACCTTGCTGTTGTTGTTGTTTTTGTTGCTATTGTTGTTGGAATGCCGTTGTTGTTGCCAAGTTGGGTACGGACTGACGCACACACGCACACCTACTTGCACACACACACACACATAAGCAGAGTGTGTACGCACGCAACGTAAAATAATGCCACTTATCAATGAAGCTATTTGATAAAAATGTAAACGTTCTGACGGCCGGCAATTGAAATAAAATCGAAAAACACGGCGCGATAGTACGATCTAACATACGTGTATGCACTATATATGCATATATACAAATATACATATGTGTATATAAACATACATATGTATATAAACATGCATATGTCTGTGTAGCAAGGTGTTTGATCACAAAAGGTTGCATTGAGCAAGAACCGAAAAGGCAACAACAACAGCCATCAGAATTTCAATAAACGATACACACACACGCACAGCTTTCATTTAAAATTCAATACCAATTCCCAATACCAGCTCCGACATTGGCGTTATTGTATCTCAGAAACAGCGGCCACCTGTAGCTGTTTTTGTTTATGAGAGTGTATTGAGAACCGCAAACAAATACGTTTCTATTCAGCTTTGCGTTAACACATTTTATTGCACACACTTTAACTTCAGTTCTTAATTATATAACAATTGGGCGCTTATTTTGAACTATTATTATTTGTATTCCAAAAGGAAGGCTTACAATTTATTTTATTTAATTAAAAAACGCGCGCAACCGCCGCTTGAATTATGCTCTGCTTGGATCAGCAGAATAAAACTGCGTCGTCGTTAAATTTAAACTCTTCCCACTGAATATCAATATAGCTATATGTATTAGTAATATTATTGTGGACAAGTTGTATTTTAAATTTGCTTATTTAATGCGCTCGCAACGTCTTAACAACGCGACTCGTTTAACTCAACTGAAAGTCAACTTTAGCATTCATGTTACGTTCATGTTAGAATTCTCATTAACTGTTAATGTTAAGTGAATGTTAGCAGGGTTGCCATCTAGTCGCATTAAGCTATGCGATCGTGTTGTAGCAATGAGCTTCGGCACTAGTGAGGACGGATACTCGCCAAAGTTGATGAGTGTTATCAGAAAATAGTGAATCTATTATTGGATATTTATTATTATTTATTAGATATTATAGTAATTAACTTATTAAACATATAAATGTGTAATATTTAACATGTATAAACATAGTGGGCCAGAGCGTAGCTAGCTCTTTAAAATTATGGTGTCCGTCTCTACTTTTCAATGATTTTTGGAAAATTGATACCGGCGTTTCCAAAAGGAGCTTATATTCCTGTTCGCATTGCATATAATCAGGTAGTCCCAAAACTATGTGTAGGTTCTTCTAAGCACTAATAAGAGAAACGATTTTATTATAGTTTTTTAAGACGTTAGTTAGTAGAGTAGGGCGAAGAAGGGGCATCTATTTTTGTTTTACATTAAATCCCATGAAATTCAATAACTAGCGATGCAAAACGAGCAGGTTTATCGAAAACCATTTGTTCCGCTTGACTAAATAAGGTTTGAAATATTTCTATTTTTAAATATATTTTTTTGCGCTTGCGGACATTTTGTTATGTAATGGTTTTTCTGGCTATTTATCTGACTATTTAACTTGATCGTATCCACATTTCCATGACAAAGCAAGAATATTCAATATGCAGAGATTCCCATTTTTCCGATTGCTTTCGAAGTTCTTGTTTGATGGCAAATTCTTCACTAAACTACAGTTTTGACGTGATTGAGTTACTAACTGATTGGAAGTTAAGGCTCTAACCACAAACTCAGAACTCAGAAAAAAGTATATAAATTCTTTATGAAAATTTTGCTTATCAACTGATACATTTTGTGCTATAAAATTCGTCTGATCTAATTAAATTATGTGTTCGTTTTAAACATGGCTTGAATTGATTATTCTTATAGCTTAATTTATTTCCTTTGACTATACAACTAAATTTACAAATAGGGTATCGTCTCTTACGACATCTCCAATCAGCATGCGATTAATACAACGTCACAGTTTATATAAGAGTTTTGAGGGTCTGCTATCACAAAACGAACTTATTTAATGACAATCCGGCAGTTCCTCTTCACGAAATATAGTAATAAAAAAATAATGGCCATAGAAATTTGTTACAGCCGAGAGGGAGAGGGAAAGAATGTATCTGTGCAGCGACTGATAGCGAGGCTCATTAATTACGAACCAGCCAACTAAACGTAGAATTTAGAGCGAGAATTTCTAAATACACAAATGAACTTGGTTATAAGTTTAAACGGTTTTCCGCTGGTTTCCCATTATAACAAGTTGAACAAAAAACAGAAACTTTGTGATGGATGTAAATTGTTGTGGATTTTGAAAACTATGCGCTTATCAGGTGGAGGGCATCTACATAAAAATATGAAAAATGGGTAGCGTGCTGAGAACCTATTACCTGCTCTAAATTTTGCATATAGTCGGTCCTAACAGCTAACCAGCGGGTAGTGCTGTAAGAATTGGACTCTGGTGCCCGTAATCAGTGCACAATTGAGCTGAACGATCAGTGATCGCCAAAGCCAAGCACCGCTTAATGCCAAAATAATTGCGCTCTGCGAGTTTAAAAGTCCATTTGGGCACCAGCTTCCGGAACCATATAAATATCAGTGGGTGTGCTCCTGTGGCCAAATTCAAACGCGTTTCGCACCCCGTTACCTGAGTGCCAAATCGAAAAATGTTGCAGAAAGTGTTGTTTCCGGTGTTGCTTTTGGGCTGCCTAGCATATGTGGAGGTCCTGGCCTGTGTAAGTGAGATGATATTGGGATTTTTATGTCCTACTGAAAGGACCTTGTCTCACATAGAATGGATACAAGGCCAAGGTCGTCAAAATGGAGAACTGTGCTGGCGATGATGCTATCATTTCCGTGGACCCCGACTTCTCCGTTAAGCTAAACAAGAAGTGCGAGCTGGTGCCCATAGGTTGTGTTAACAACAAGGCCTTCACTACAGCCACGGCCAAATACAAGGTCCAGAAGGATGGCATTGTGATGAAGGAGGGTAAAATGGATTTGTGCAGTGCCGTCGAAGAAGTATCCAGTGAAGCCAAGGATATGCTCAAGGTATTTGGTGCGCCCTCCTCCTGCCCAGTCGCCGAGGAGAAGATTTGCAGCAACAATCACAGCGTCGACCTATCGAAGTACAAGGCTATGCTAAGCATGGCTCGGGGTCACCTCATCATTGACTCCGAAATCAAGCATGATACTGTTAGTAGATCCTTAAACATATTCTTCTTTATAAAGCTAATAATTCTTATTATATTTAGGGAAAGTCCTGCTTCCATGCTGAAATCAATATCACCAAGTCCTAAATCTACTATATTGTTCGAATTAGGTGTAACTATCGCACAAAATATTTGGCATAATAAATTGGTAACAGTGTGCAAAGAAATAACCATTCTGCTTTATCGAATAGTTTTTTAATTTTCTGTAAACATTATACAACACTTTTGACTTAAAAGTACTAGAAATTATTAGTAATTCGTAATCAGGAAGTAATCTTTAAGACTGTCTTGCTTCGAGCACAAATGGTCGCATTGTGAAACCGCTTCAGCATATACCCGAAAATCCGTAGTCGTTATTCCTCTCATTCAGGCGGCCCAGATAAGGCGAGTGCTTTATACCAAAACTGTAGGACGGGACGTGGGATAGATTGACCTGTCGAGTCAGAAAGATAAAAGAAAACCGAAGTACGTCCGATTAGCTGGGAACATTTTAATGGAAATTTTGGTTGAACATAGCAGTGTATGAGCTCTTTGAGTTCAGCATAATTTTGATTAAAGTGCTTGTTAGGGAGACGCTCAGCAGCTATCTGTTGACCAAAGAAGCACTTTAGCCAAGAAATGCTGATGGGAAATTGAATGAATTGAAATGTTTGCTTATTTGAGGCCCCTATCCTGCCGCATTTGAAAGGCGCAGCGCGTCCATTGATCTGATAAAACCACCTGCTTGTACAGACCAAGGAAAGGCGAGTGCAGGATGCCAAATGAAGGTGCCGGCACGGAACGCTTCTCCACATACTGCGGGCAGGCATTTCGGTTAAAGCTATTGCTTATGACTAGCCCATTTCTCGAAATCTTACCTTCTCCGGACAGTGCGCCCCCGGACCGGGCTTCATGTCATCAGAGCGCGTTTTGAACTTGCCACGCATTGTGTAGATGGGCGGTTTCGGTTTAATCACAGTGTATTCGCCATCGTAGTATCCGGGACCGGGCAGAACGAGTGAAGGTATGAGTGCCTGTTTCTCACGTCCGGCCATGGTAAAGGCTGGAGCGGATCGTATGGGACCTTCTTTGCTCGAACCCAAGACAGTGGGTATTTTGTAGACATTAGGAGCTATCAGAGAGACAAGAATAAATAAAAAAGGAGAAGTGAACATTTAGGATTGGGGATTATATAAGCGATCATATGTCGACATGCTTGACTGGGTGGCTGGATGGCTGGGTTTGATGGCTGGGTTTGATGGCTGGGTTTGATGGCTGGGTTAGTAGGTGAGTTGATATGAACTTGCTGCTGCAAAACACAGATCGGCATTAGCAAGGGCGTTAGAGACCCCTTTGAGGGTTGAGGGTATTTATAAGCTGCAGCCACAACAAGCGTTGACTGCTACCTTACCTGATTGTTTTCTCTTGAACGCTGCTCGCCTCCACAGCATACTTAACCGTTGCCATCTTCGTGGTGCTTGTTGTGGTTACAGTGGCGCCGTCGGCTTGCACCACTGTGCGCGTATTGAAGTTGTTGGCTTTGGCGGCGATGGCATCGGCGGTTCCACTGGTCGTTACCTGCATATTGCCCACCTGGGCATGGCCATTGGCTAGTTGGCGAAGTGCCATGGTGCTGATATTTGTGCTGTCAGCAGCCGAGGGCTTAGCCAAAGACATCGTTTTGGTCTTAATGGTGGTGGTAGTGGTCTTTGCTAGGTTATTCTTAGGCTCGAGCTGTGCGGTGCTTTGTGTGTTCTGGCCAATTATTTGAATTTGCATTTGCGTTTGGGTGCTCGTGCTCTCACGCTCGCCAGCATTTGCAACCGTGGTGGTGCTAGCCGAGGTGTTGGTCTCACCATTGACGTTCACATTGGTGTTGTTGCTTCGTACTGTGGTGCAAATGTAAAAGAAATTGAAGTGAAATCACATACTTCTGAGTACTAGAGAAGAATCAATATTCCCATATACTTGTATAGTATTCTATATGTACAGCAGGCCCTGAGCTATTACCGATGTAGGTTCTTCGAACTATCCTTAGGTTTCGTTGAACAAGCTGGGGGGCAAACGAGTTTCGTTGTGATGCCATATTGATTACCCTTCTCGGTCAATCGAAAATACGAACTAAAATTGCATTTCTTTCAGCTCTTTTCGAAAGCATAAAACTTTTTCACACATAAGCGAGGCTAATAGGCTAATTTTTATCGCAAAAAAAATGCCACATTTACTAAAATTTCAGAAGCTGGCAAGATTTTTTGAACTGCTAAGGTCTGCTAAACATCTTAATTTCACACTCTTCTTCTTTGTTTCCAATCCAATTTCAATCGAATTAGCATTGCATTTAAAACGCAAAATGCAAATGAATACTGGAAACAACCCGACCACTTACTTTATGTTGTGGAGCGATTTAAAAATTCTTTAAAAATCCTACATATTCGCATATAAATTTCAATTTAGGGCCCTCATTCTCCAATATATATTTATTGTATGCCAACACTCGCACCGATCCCACCGACATCCCAAAGCTTATGCTAGATACAGACTAAAACAATAGCAGGACATTATGTAAAGACAGGCAGCCTTAGGTATATAGTACAGTGTGGACCTATTTTCTACGAATCCGAAGACGATTACGAGCACGTCCACGTGAGCGTGCAGGGGGACGACCACGTCGTCGAACAGGCGGCGCGGTTTTAGATTCAGTTGCAGATTCAGTTGCAGATTCAGGGTCAGATTCAGCTTTTGATTCAGTCTTAGATTCAGCTGCTGCATCTGCAGGAGCTGTAGCAGTTTCGAAACCATCTGGATTTTGAAAAGCCTTGGCTTTGGCTGTTGTACTGGAAGCATCAGAGCCTCCGGCCTCAGTTGAAGGTGGCGGAGGCAGCGATGGGACCTTCATGTAGCGTTCACAAGATTGGCGACACATAAACAGGGACCTAAAGTCGTTTTGTTCATGCATTCTTGGACAAAAAGATGTTACTCGAATGCAGTCAAATAGAATCTGGTGAAACACATAGAAAGTTCGCCGGGGTCCGAAGCAACTGCGCTCGTGCCTGTACTTATTTTTTACTAAACAGCCGCCATACTTTCTGGTCACTAGGAAACCTGCATACGATAAATATCCAATAATACAGTATCTAATAAATATTGACATCTTTGGACACTTACGCTTTTCGCATGCTACAAACGCAAAATATGCTGACACAAATAAGAAGGACCACCTCATTCTTGGGTGCCAAGAGTTCCAATATTGGGAACAGATTTTCTAAACTACCACCTACGGTGCTTTATGAACGACAGCATTACGAATCGTTTAAAATTATCTGCCGCAGCGGACGAAATGTAATGTAGGTAGTCGTAAATTTTCGAAGTAATGAAATGTTTACTAAGGCGTAAAGCTTTGCGGTATATAGGCTACTTATTTAGCCGATACGGTTTATTGTCAAGCCTATATTTCAAAGACCATGAACGAAAAGCAAATTGGTGTATTCCAATTGCGCTGTTATTTATGAAAGGGGCCTTTACTTTTTTCGATCTACAGCTCGCATCAAATCTTGCTTTGAAGAGGTTTCTAATTTCCGATTACAATAGGTATATATTCTCAAAGAAAGACATTTTGCCAACTCTAATCTCTGCCAGATGAGTATCTTAGATATCGCACTTATTCTTCGCAAAGAATGCACATATCTGGATTATCTTCAGGAGCATTTCCATAGTATAGTTGTAGAACTGTGCTGTTACTTGATGGTAAGGCAGCAAGCTATTGGATCTGCATGTAGCGTTCGCAGCCTTGGCTACACATAAACAGGGACCTAAGGGTTATTGAGCCGATATGGTTTTTTTCCCATTATCTCTTCTCTTGGCATTCGACTGTATAGATAATTTAAAATGTACATTTTGCTATGGCTCTAATGAGATGAGATCTACTTATCCATTATATTCCGTAACAATAAATGATTGTATGAGTGTGTGGGGTTTCTAGAACTTGGGTAGAAACCATTTCACATTTCGCGCAATTTTTGCTTACCAGGGCTGGCCAAACGACGCTCGCGTCTTTGGATAATTCGATCTTCGATATAAGCGCCTCTAGGTTCTAGTGAGTGCAGGTGATATCATATATACAGATTGATGGTAAAAACGAACACCAAGTATGTAAACGGGATGTGTACGGAGAAGAAATATGAAAACAAAAAGATACAAACACATACATGTAGGAAAACCATAAGCTCTTCTTTTCCCCAAACCGTTTTGCATTCATGTGAACTTACCTGGAATCGGCGGCATTACCAAAGTCTTATGCCCAAAACTGTAAGCAGGTGAGTGATCGAGATTACACTGCTCAGGGTGGTAATGTCCAGGGGCTTATAAATTATAACACAGGCACAAACATATACATCAACAGAAGCACATATGATAGACAAGCGAAAGAAATGGATTGGTAAAAAGTGATTTAAAACGACGGAAAATGAACTCTACTCGTGGAATACTTTCTTCTATGAAATTACCTGGTGCGTCAACAGAACTCTTAATCTCGGATTTGGTGCCGAATGTGAAGGCAGGTGTGTGATTGAGCGAGTGTTTTTCTGGCTCATAAGCAGAAGGTGCTGTTTAGGGTGTCACATTAAAATATTTCTTAAAAAAGACTATAGTGCATCTACTTGCCTGGTGTGTCACTTATATATTCCCGGTTGGTTTTTATACCGAAGCTAAAGGCTGGCATTTTAGTTTCCATATGGCATAGCTCAGGCCAGTAGTCGCAGGGCGCTGGAGTTTGGCTCACATGCTGTACATTTGTTCGACCTGTAATTGTGTAGGCTGGTGTATGGTCGAGACGTACTTTCTCGGGTGCGTAGTCACATGGCGCTGGGGTGTGATGATTTATTTTGGGGTCATTCTTGCCACCAAAGGTATAAGCGGGTGTATGATCCAGACGCACCTTCTCAGGGCAATAATCTCCAGGAGCAGGGGTATCATTGGATACCTTCGGATCGTGTTTGCCAGCCATTGAGAAAGAAGGATTGTGATCTTGGCGAACTTTTTCAGGGGAGTAAGCTCCTGGTGCTGGAGTATCACTTGGCTTTTGAAGATCGTGACGGCCAGCAAATGAATAGGCGGGATTGTGGTCTAGCCGAACCTTCTCAGGGCTGTAATCGCCAGGAGCAGGGGTATGGTTCTCAACTTTGGGGTCATTCTTGCCACCAAAAGTATAGGCGGGTGTGTGATCCAGTCGCACCTTCTCAGGGCAATAATCTCCAGGTGCAGGGGTATCATTGGATACCTTCGGATCGTGTTTGCCAGCCATTGAGAAAGAAGGATTGTGATCTTGGCGAACTTTTTCAGGGCAGTAAGCACCTGGTGCTGGAGTATCACTTGGCTTTTGAAGATCGTGACGGCCAGCGAATGAATAGGCGGGATTGTGGTCTAGCCGAACCTTCTCAGGGCTGTAATCGCCAGGAGCAGGGGTGTGGTTCTCAACTTTGGGGTCATTCTTGCCACCAAAAGTATAGGCGGGTGTGTGATCCAGTCGCACCTTCTCAGGGCAATAATCTCCAGGAGCAGGGGTATCATTGGATACCTTCGGATCGTGTTTGCCAGCCATTGAAAACGAGGGATTGTGATCTTGGCGAACCTTTTCAGGGCAGTAAGCACCTGGTGCTGGAGTATCACTTGGCTTTTGAAGATCGTGACGGCCAGCAAATGAGTAAGCGGGATTGTGGTCTAGCCGAACCTTCTCAGGGCTGTAATCGCCAGGAGCAGGGGTGTGGTTCTCAACTTTGGGGTCATTCTTGCCACCAAAAGTATAGGCGGGTGTGTGATCCAGTCGCACCTTCTCAGGGCAATAATCTCCAGGAGCAGGGGTATCATTGGATACCTTCGGATCGTGTTTGCCAGCCATTGAGAAAGAAGGATTGTGATCTTGGCGAACTTTTTCAGGGGAGTAAGCTCCTGGTGCCGGAGTATCACTTGGCTTTTGAAGATCGTGACGGCCAGCAAATGAATAGGCGGGATTGTGGTCTAGCCGAACCTTCTCAGGGCTGTAATCGCCAGGAGCAGGGGTGTGGTTCTCAACTTTGGGGTCATTCTTGCCACCAAAAGTATAGGCGGGTGTGTGATCCAGTCGCACCTTTTCAGGACAATAATCTCCAGGTGCAGGCGTATCGTTGGATACTTTTTGATCGTGTTTGCCAGCCATTGAGAAAGAAGGATTGTGATCTTGGCGAACTTTTTCAGGGCAGTAAGCACCTGGTGCTGGAGTATCACTTGGCTTTTGAAGATCGTGACGGCCAGCGAATGAATAGGCGGGATTGTGGTCTAGCCGAACCTTCTCAGGGCAATAATCTCCAGGAGCAGGGGTATCGTTGGATACCTTTGGATCGTGTTTGCCAGCCATTGAGAAAGAAGGATTGTGATCTTGGCGAACTTTTTCAGGGGAGTAAGCTCCTGGTGCCGGAGTATCACTTGGCTTTTGAAGGTCGTGACGCCCAGCAAATGAGTAAGCGGGATTGTGGTCTAGCCGAACCTTCTCAGGGCTGTAATCGCCAGGAGCAGGGGTATGGTTCTCAACTTTGGGGTCATTCTTGCCACCAAAAGTATAGGCGGGTGTGTGATCCAGTCGCACCTTTTCAGGACAATAATCTCCAGGTGCAGGCGTATCGTTGGATACTTTTTGATCGTGTTTGCCAGCCATTGAGAAAGAAGGATTGTGATCTTGTCGCACTTTTTCAGGGGAGTAAGCTCCTGGTGCCGGAGTATCACTTGGCTTTTGAAGATCGTGACGGCCAGCGAATGAATAGGCGGGATTGTGATGAAGTTGAATTTTTTCAATAGCGTATGTGCCTGGTGCTGGTGTGTCGCTTATATGGTGAAGCTCATGTCGTCCAGCAAATGAGAAAGCAGGATTGGGATCGTGCCGTACTTTTTCCGGATAGTATTCGCTTGGTGCCGGAGTTGAAGTGTCGATCTTCTGTTCATGCTTACCGCCGAAGGTGAATGACGGCGTGCTATCGCTTCGATACTTTTCTGGAGAGTATGACCCTGGTGCTGGCGTTACACTAACAGACTTAATCTCATGTCGGCCCGAAAATGTGAACGCTGGCGTGTTATCACAACGTACCTTCTCCGGTTCATAGGTGCCAGGTGCGGGAGTATCGTCCGCTTTGACATGTGGTACGCGCTGGCCAAAGGTAAAAGCGGGGGTTTTGTTGAGTACACACTTTTCTGGTTCGTATGCGCCAGGTGCTGAAATAGAAAAGTGGCTTTAGTGGCAGCTCCTTCTAAAGGTAAGTATCTAAGATGAAAGGGGCTTTTCTTACCGGGCGTGCCATCGACCACATGGCTAGATGCCTTGCCAGTTATAGAATAAGCGGGTGTTGTGTGCAAGTTGACTTTTTCGGGGCAGTATGCTCCAGGTGCTTTAAAAACAACAAATTTTACTGACCACGAAGTTCACTAAAATGCGTGTAACCTACCTGGTGTGTTGGTGACTATTGTGTGATTTGTCTTTAAGCCAAAACTATAAGCGGGCGTGTGTTCTAGATTCACTTGCTCGGGCTTATATGTACCCGGTGCTAAAAAAAAGATATTCATAGGTGGTTCAGAAGCGGCTCTAAGCTAAGAAATATTGTTTGATGTGTAGTAAAGGCAGTTTGCTTACAAACCTGGCGTATAGTCATGCCTTAACTCTTGATGCTTGATTCCGAAACTAAACTCTGGCGTTCTGCTGAAATTCGCCTTTTCAGGAGAGTAGGCGCCAGGAGCTGTGGGATAGACAGGGGTACTGTGATTAATACAGAAGTTGTAAGGCGTTAAGAGTGTGATATTTAACAATAATATATTAGCTAAAAAATTAGTGTAATGCCTTATTATCAGATCTTTACCTGGGGTGCCCTGATCGTGTTGGATTTTAGTTCGTCTACCAAATGTGAAACGTGGCGCATTCTTTTTTGATTGCACGACCTTTTCAGGACAATAGCTATTCGGCGCTGTTAGTGTTAATAAAATAAAATTGTTCGGGTTTCGTTTTAAACTAAAACTATAAATGCAACTAGAGTGATCGCTCAACTAGGTCTAAGGTGAGGGGAACGAGCGTTGACAAAAGTGCGAGTGAAATACATTAGGGCAGTAGAATGGATGCATCGACGACCAACACCACTGGTGATTGAGTCAGTTATGACTCGATATAGATTCGTTAGTATATAATTGAAAGTGAGTTGCTAAGTCTGCGAACCGAACATGCCAGCCGATTAGTCGTGTTACCTGGATTGTTAACAATGTAAACGTTAACCTTAACGCGAAACGAATATCGGGGAGCGCGGGGCCTAGTGACATCAACCGGTACCACCTGGTAGTGGTTCGGACCTAAATAAGGATGCGTTTTTTTGTTCCGAAATTTGGGAAAGATGAAAATGTTCAATTAAAATCAAATTACAAGTACTGTACGATATCTAAAATGTAAACACGATTTGTACAAAAAAGGAATAGTTCAGCTAACATTTACATTAATGAAGAGGAGGAGGCCATTACACTACGAGTATCTACAAAGGTCTTTTGATACAAATCTAAAGCTACTGCAAAATTCTACAAAGAAGGAAGATAGACAAAGATAAAGAGATAGAGAGATAGAGAGAGAGAGAGAGAGAGAAATCTTCGGCAGCGATGAGCGACTGCTACTTACGCGCCGCTTAGCCAGCCGATCGATATCTTTTGATGATTGATTGAACGATTGCGATTGCATGGGGATATAAATTGAGATGAGTTCAGATGTTGATATTTACAATGCAGCTGCTGATGTAATGGTAGTACGAATACGAATATAAACTCCATCCTCCAATCCAATTCGAGGAGCATGCAACAACAGCTCGACACAACGAATCCAAGCCATTCAAACACCAAACCAGCCTGGCCCAACACCAAACGAATGCATGCGGCATAGGCCGGTTGAACTTACCTGGAATCAGGCTGAACTTAGCACAGGGCGGCTTCTGACCGAACGTGTACTTTGGTGTGGCATCGATGACAGCCTTGGCCGCTGGCACTACATCGTATTCGCCGGGGCCCGGATTGGAGAATCGGGTGAGCTCCTTCGGACGGCTCTGCAGCGTGGCAGCGCGCGGGTAGTCCTTACCCTTTGCCCGCAAGCCAGTAATGTTGTATTGGGCCGGTCCGGGACCGAAGGTGTCATGCGAACTGCGATATTTCTGACCGAACGAATACGCGGGTGCGCCTTTTTTCTTGGAATCGGGCACTTTGCTGCCTAAAGCGATCAGTAGTGAACAATAGCATCGTAAATGTGGTATGTGGCCAAGCACTTACCGACTAATGTGGGTAACTGCACTATTGCCGGACCCGGACTGCTTGTCTCCGCCGCTATTTTTCCCGTACGTACTGTTGGGGTCCAGGGCCGTTGTTCGACGTTTCCGCCCATGTTTAGTGTGCGTATTTTCTTGGTTCTTGCACAGGGATCCGTGTCTGCTTTTATCTTCCTTTTGGTGTAATAGACTTTCTGCCGTGAAGGGGAGAACGAGTGGTTAACTATTTTAGTAAATGTACTGGGCTGTTTACTAACTTTCGCCATTTTGCGGCGGTTATGCGTCGAGGCGTGAGGGGCACAATGGAATAAATGTTCTATTTGTACAAGGAGTGGGTCTCCTACAATTCAGTTGTCTCTACGAATTTACGAGTTTATGCTTAAATTTGTTTGACATGTAGCTCCAACTTGAAGTTCTCACTTCACTTCCTAACTTTTAGAGATACTATATGTACATACTGAGGTGGTGAATCAAGGGCAGGACTCCAATAGAGATAGGACTTCTGAACACCCTCCAGCAGACCTTTCACTGCACATAGCCGTCGCACTACTATTTTAGAACTACTATTCTATAAATAATCGTAAGTATGAAGTGAAGGTACTATCCACAAGCTGGTACCATCTCAAGTCTTAGATGATTTCCTGATTACACAATCTATATTCTATAGCACACATTCTATATGCCCTTTTGATAGCCTAATTAAAATTTAACTTGAACAAAAAGTCGACATTTGTCAACCCAAAAATCCATTTAGTCGTGCTCAAGCCCCATTATTTTCCAGTGGCCCCAAATAAAAACTACAAACTAGGCAGCGTCGACATAAAATCAATTGAATTCGAGCTCCCAGACGCCTCCGACGCCTCAATTTGGAAGCAGTTGGCGTTATACGGCGCTGGCACATGCCACGAGCCTCAGCAGCAACTTGAAATGGATTTGTTGTTTCGAATTTTCTGGGCCAATCGGAGGGGGTCTAATAGGGCTGTTGACTTGTCGTGTGAAGATATTTTGTTGCTCACGAAAAGACAAACACTAGACAAAAGCCAAGGAGTATGCAAATGCCGTTGGTTGCGTTTGGCCCTTGTTTGGCCAATACGACAAGTTACCACGTAAAAATTTGTGGTAGGCTTCGTGTTGACCTTCTTTCGCAGGCCATGCCAACAGATGGTGCCAGGTAGTATCAGACCAGTCCCTTCAGCCCTCCAATCGATACGGCGGCGATGACGACGACCCCCATAATTTGGTCGAAATTCGATTACCTGAATTCGACGTCAACAAGGTTGCGCCTCCCTCCTTGGGGTCCATTTTCCAAGTGCTAATGTTGCCCATTTGAACATGTAAGCCAACAAAACGATTACTTCTAACGACTCCCTATGGCCGACAATTGCATGTTGAAGCGAAACCAAGTCGGAAAGAAAAACAACTCGAGACCGGGGCATGCAAGTTTTTGACCGTGAATAGCACTGAGTATTAGTTCTGATAACACTAGCCAACACGTTACTTGGTGCTCATTGCAGAAGCGGGCAATAGGCTGAATAAAATGTACAATCTATAATTTTTCTGTTACACAAACTCTATCTCTTTCTCTATTTTAATTAGAAAAGAAATCAGAATTAATTTGTTATTCAATTATCACAACAAATTTGTAGATTGGACCATCAAAAATATAATCTTTAAATGACGTAGCTTTTTAAAAATTCCTTAGTTCTTGTTTTAAGTTACATAAATTATTAATGCCTACTTACATACTGATAATACCATTACTACCTACATTTATAGGTTAAAAGTCAAATGATTTCAGTTCAATTTTCACAAAAATATTTAAATGTTGATGGAGAGTTCGAAAAGTTTTTAAAATATATACAAACTCTTCTACTTCTTAGAAGACCCCACTTCGAGTTCCATGCATTTGTTGCTGCTCAGTAAAAAGTTCTTCAATTCCAGACATATCGTCAGTCTTGAAGCTCAAACTTAGCTTTATTATTAGTGTAGTGTGCTGACACGCTTCTAAATAATAACAAGCTTATCATTTATTCAATGCATAGCACTTTATAAATAAACATTCAAATCATAGAGTTTCCTTTCGTAATCTTTTCTTATAACTATTTTGTTGCGCAGTGCAATCTGCAAATACTTTGGGAGGACATGGCTAGGGTGTCGAAGTGAGGCCCAACCTGTTAAGAGGGTCAATAATGGCGACTTAGTGGGTGTGGAATTACCTGCGACCTCGCATGTTAAGAAAAATAAATATGTACACGCATATTTCACACTTAAAAGGTTCGATAAGACACGCAGTTAGTTAACAATTGCAATATTTTAAATATTGCTTACCATAAGGGTAAAAGTATATACTCGCACTTACAAAATGAAGTTAACTGAAGCTTCTCTTGATAGTTTCTTCAATACTATGTTCGATTCGAGCCTTAGATATGATGGCCAGGTGTAGAGATGATTGAAATATAACCGAAAGCGACCTTACATTGTCTTCCACCTTATCTAGACATGTGAAGATGATGGGAATGATTACCAATTTTCGAGATATTGTTGCTTATACTCGTAATTGCTTGTTTTTGTTTTCTTCGTGAACGGAAAATGTTCAGTGCAATAGAATTTGTCAATAACGATAGTCAAGCATATGTGCATATAAGGCAGATCTTACATCATCAACATCAACATCATCATCATCATCATTGAGCGAAAACATCGGCGTTGGCAGCAACTTTTTGTTTCACCCACACATGCGTCTCAATTACTGACAGACTGATGGAGTGGAGTGATCGATCAGAGAACGCCTTTTAAGGCGACACAACATGGCCAAATGAGTCAGTTTGTCAGAAAGAAGAGGCTGCTAGACAGCTGGCAGACAGTACCAGCCTCTCTCTGGAGCTGTCCGCTTGACTGAGTTATTTTGGGGAATGAAGACATATAATTGGGTGGCATTCCTTCTCCATATTCTCACTCCCAACTGAAATTTGTTGTTTTGCTTTGTGAAGCTACAATTTGCACAGTTGGAGTCGCCTTAATCGATTTTAATGCGAAATACAGATCAATGAATTGCCGACTATCGGCACACTGGTCTGACTTAATCATATACTTGGGAGTAAAAAAACTATTCGCCAACGCCACAGCCAGCATCCGACGGCATTGTATCAGCGTGTGACATTGTCACAGTTTAGAACGCAACCACAGAACCTGTCAAGCGTCTATTTCTGTATTCATGACTCTATTTCTATATACGAGCGAATATATACTTGTACAATATTTGCATGTGCCGGCCAGCAACTTACAGAGCAAGCCGATTGCAGGGCGAAGTCTAAGCCGATGGATGGACTAGTCAGCGAAATGATCAGTAATTGCCAATCTCCATCAACTATAACTCTTTAGGATCAAACGATCAGCTTTTAAAGATTCTATTCCCACTATCCAGTTATGAACCACTTGAAGCCAAAGGGGTTGTAGTCAAATGAAAGGAGTTCTGCAGGATTCCCAGCAATCTATTCATTCAAGTGAGAAGAAAATATTTTACATCTAGTTACAAGCTTTTATAAAATGATTAACATATTCAAAATGAAATTAAGTATTTGTTTGTGAAGAAAGGAATAACTCCACAATCGTGTCAATGAGAAGGACCACAGGAAAGGGCAGCCTCTGCTGTGAACGACCAACATTGAGAAAGTAGAGAAGATTGTAGGAGTGTATTCGAAGGTGGGTCGATTTAATGTTGAATTATTTTAAAATCACACAAATAAGGAAAGACCTGTGAACTGAGCCCCAATAAGTAACCATTTATTCGGATTTTTACAATTGACTGCCATTGGGTGCTGTTTAAGAATTGGTTATGAGATCATTATTCTCTACACATAGCTTTCCGTTCTTGACACAATCATTTATAAATTAATCAATTGTTCTTGACTTGAAAATAAAAGGAGGTCCCGTCTAATTGCTAAGGTGATGGATAGATAGATTTTCTCTGAAGCACGCACACACGTCAGCTTCATAGCGGTGATATCAACTTCTGAAAACATCACCAACAGCAAATTGTCAAATTTAATAAATAATAGCATTTAATTGTTTGACCTGTCGGTGTGGATTTGTGTTTTTTGTTTTTGGAATACACTATTATTATAAACGAATAACTGCGCGCCGGCATGACCTCATTCGGCAGCATTTCGATATCTATATAGTCTGACAACTTTTACGCCCATTTATGGCGGCTAGTCGACCGACAACGACAGTGCCGGCGTTTCCTTTTGCCCACACGGAGTTGTCCAAAAAAGAGAGAGCCTAAGCGTAAAACGGGGCTCCCAGACAACTCCTACGTGGCTACACATATGTGTATATAGATACATATGTATACCATTATGTACATATCTCTTACTAATGTATCTATTGACTTTTCAATTTTGCGCGCAAGCCGACTAAAATAAACACAAAAGCGAACACAAACACCACAAATATTATACACTACACACACACCACAATAAAAATGTGTGTAAGTTAATTAACAGCCAAACAAGTGAAACAACCAAAAAAGACAACAGAGTAACCAAACGGCTGAAAGACAACAACAACAACAACAATACAACAGCGTACCATTCCAAAACTTGGCAATAAGTTTAGACCAGAAACAGAAATAAAAACAGAGACAGAGACAGAGACACACACGGCAACTGACGTCAGCTCTGGCTTGTGAACTAGTTTGCTTGTTTGGCTTAAGTCATAAATCTAATTTGATTAAAACGTGTTCTGCCCGGCACGTCCGTTGAATCTCGGCTTTGATGTTGGCGGAGAGAAAGCCAAACTGTCAACTCCCAGTTGGCCTTTTTGGCAAATCTGAAATGTGCATTATTTTCTCTCAAAGGCAATCGGCCAAATTCTGGGAAAGATACTTGTATTTGCAATCGATTACGGCAAACAAAGCAAAATATCTTGTTCAAACTAGAATTAGTTTCTTTGCATTGTTTTTTTTTTGGCAGTCGAAAATTATACTAGAGCTAGGTCAATAAATACAAGTTTATAAATTCCATAGAATATTAAAAGAGGGTCGAGAAAGAGTTGAAGGCCAACCCCACATCTAAGACGGCCAGGAGCATAAGATTATGAACAGCACGCTAAACAAAACATCGAAACGACGATTAACTGATGTTGTTGGCATATCTAACAGATCAGTCAACACAATTTTAAGATAACTTTTGTGCCTCCACAAATCTCGTTTGGTTTCAAAAACCCTGCACCACTGCATTCGTTCTTATTCTTCTGACTTGTAGCCAAAAAAACAGCCATAAAGGTCGTTCCAGAACCACCATATTCTCATAATTTAGTTCCTTGTAACATCTGGCTATTAAATACATTGAATTGGACACGGTTGATGCGACTAAAGGTACTAAAGGTCATGCTAGAAAAGGATTTTTTCTGCTGCTTTAAGGATTAGAAAAGTATTTTAATAGATAAACAAAAATATTGCACCCAGCAGTAGAACCGAAAATGCATTAGAAATAAACGCAAAGGAATAGGAATTCAAAGTGGAGGTAACAAAGAAAAATTCAAAGTATTACTAGGCGCATATATTTATTGTTTTCTACTTGTATGTTAGGGGGAAAACAAATGTTTGTGATAATTACAGAAATTAGATTGTCTTATTAGGTTTCCCCACTCTAAGCGCCTTTTTGACCCACTGTATAATAATAATGCTGCACAATTTTGCTAGTCGCTGACTAATATTTGAATTTAGATACCTATCTCATTAAACTTTGCCATCAACCAAGCGTCAATAATCACATAAAAGTTGCGAATTATGTTGTTTTTTGTTTCTACACCCGGGGGGCATTTTGGTAACATAATGAACATGGATCGGCACCGACATAATGAAACGCTTTCTTCATTCATTTGTTGGTTTTCTGAATGCTTCGCATTTATATATGGCTAGTTGCTTAGTTTTTTACACCAATTTCTGAGTATCGTTTAATTATAGTGTATTCGTCAGTCGTTTCGGGTGCCAACTATCTTATTTTTAATAATTTTGTTATGATTTGGCAAGGTATTGTTGAAAATCATCATCGTCTTTGAAAAATGGGTTTAAAAGCGTACAAGATTGCGACCGGTTTGGAGCTCGGGCTTATTAAAGCTGATGTCATGGACCAGAGCTCTTGAAGGCAGAGCTCTAGAAGTTACAATGAACCGCCGCCGCATTTGTGGAGCGGGCCATGATAGCAATTACCGAAATCTACAACAACTTTATCGCACAACAACACTAACGAAAACATGAAAACATTGACAAAACAAGACGATAAAAGTGCCATCAGCTGATAGCCGCCCAGGAAGCGCCAGAGAATGGCCCAGACAGGGAACTGAGAGGCACTGAAAGGGGCCGCCAGTCAATGAACTGCGGCCAGGATACTCCTTTTTGAAGGCAGGCGATTGGCACGCAACAACAGGACAATGCCGCTCACGCCCCCTCGATATGTTGACTCCGTTGTTGACTCTTTTATTTACTTACCACAAAATGTTGCTGCAAGTACGGAGCTTACACTTATGGAAGAGTTGTTTTTTAAATTTATTTTTTTAGCACAAAACAAACTTCACGTTAGCCCGCGGCTAGCAATCTTTATGCATTACAGTCCTTGGATGTTTTGAGGCCTAGGTGCCGGATTTTCAAAACATCTGTGGTTAAATTTCGTTTAAGATTCACAGAAACACGACACGGGGGGGCAAAGGGCTGGTAATTGAATTTGGGTTCGTTTGTGTCGGTTTCGTTGCGTTCGTTGATTGAATTAAGCGACAGAGTGGTTTATGGTTTTACAATCAAAGTTAGTTGAGAAGTAATTTTAGAAATACTTGTAATTGAATGTCGCGTCTATAACTATGGTTTCGATTGGAAGAGCTAAGTACAACCACACTAGAGAGCTGCTCAGCAGTAACTGTTTTCCGGCAGTAGACGACAGTTGCTTTTCGTTTGAAAAAGTTGCCACAGACGAGAGAGCTTTTGCGTTGGCGCGCGCCATTGCTGTCTGTTAACAGAGCGCCGCTGTTAAATGCCTAACAGCAGCAGTGTGAACAGCACAGTTTTCGAACTGCAGGGTCGGCACTTGGCAGCACATTTCATTTCAGAATTTGAATTAGAATCTCAATCTTGTGCGCTTAATGCCTCATTGATTTTCTCTAATTAGCTGCCCATTTATGGAATCTACACAATGCTGTTCCCTTTTTTATTCTTATATAATGCCGTCTCTACCCATTGCTAGAACCTTCACCCACAACCCACGCGCTCGTTCGATCGGGCATGTTAAGCCTTTTGTGTTTGTCGAAAATTACTCGCGCAATGTTTAATTATTTAAATAAATAAGGTAACTGCGTTTCTTTACCAATTTTGGTTGTTCGCCGAGATGGACAGTAAAGCGCTTTAATTGCTTCCGTAGCTAAGTATTCGTATGAAGAGTTTCAGTGCGTGGGAGCGTATACTTGATGTGCGTATACTTAATATTTTCAATGTAGACACAAAGTTGAAGTTCTCGTTAGACTCTTGGAAACAGTATTTAAATATCGGTCGTTCGCTTTATACAAATGATATTTACTTACTTGTCTTGTTAAATGCTTTATAAATAAAAACTTTTAATTTCATTGTGCGTCCAGCCAAATAGAGGAGGTTTCTTCCCTTTCTCAAACTGCATTCAAGATGAAAATTCGGTAATTAATGCGTTGGTTTAAGGCGTTTATTTAAATATAATTACAATTTATTCGTGAAATGCTATTTTTGCTATTTTTCTTATCTTTTAGGCTTGATCAGCCCCGACTGGACTCAATATATGCGCACTCCACTGGATTTTCTAACTGTTATTTCAAATACGATGTGAGTAGACTAAAGTTTTTTTTGCTTGAATTTTAAACTACCTGCTAAAAAATATCCCTACAATAGCTTATTTCTCTAAGCTTTAGTAGGGTAACTAGATACTTGTAAATGAACTCAAGAAGCTTCTTCGTGCGAACTAGTTCGTAGCCAATCACCAACAGCGCTGAGTGAACTAGCTGTAATAAATGAACCAGCTCACCTCTTTAACACATTCGGAACTGATCAATACAGCTGTTCATGTGTTAATTAAATGGTAGAATTGAACAAGTTCGTTAGTTCGAACTAGTTTGGAACCGATCAACATCGGACTATGCTTTTATTTATGAGCTAGCTGTAAGAAAAGAAGCTTAACTCAAACCATTTGTAAGTAAATTAATTAAACAAATTAAACAATTGCTGTTGTGCGATCTAACTTGTAACGAATCGCCACATATGTACGTCTTTGGCTCTTTTTGGGAAACACCGCAACGCTCCTCAAAGCTGGCTGTGATATGAATTTTTGAAAACAACATTTCACCACCACTTTGAAGAAAGTCGCGGCTTTCAGCTTCCTATTTCTTCTTTGTTTTCCGTTCTGTTCTTTGTCACGAATAAAACATCTTTGCAATGCACAGTAAGAGTAAGGATCATTTATTCAATTTATTTGCGATATCACGTTGATGATTTTTAAATGTTTGCGGTTTTTGTTTCTTTGGCTGCTTTAGCAAGTTTCTAATGGCAATGAACGTGTTTGCTTGTATGTACGTATGAGTATGTGTGTATAGTTTCTAAAGGCATGGAAATGCGAATTATGATTAGTACTGGGTATGTTGTATTTGTAACTCCTCTAGCGGAATTCGTATTTGTTGCGGATACACCAAAATTCTCGCCTAAACATACATACAGGGTGTTCTCGTAGGAGTTTGGAATTCAATTTATGCTAGACTTAGGAGCTACGATTACGTTATATGTAGTGGCTCTTCTTGTTTTTCGTCTCTTCGTTCTGGTGGTGGTTATACTAGGGATAGACACTTTCGATTCCGCGTCCTTTTGCCGCTATGCTAAGGAATCTGTTTTCTTGGCTCTGGACGTTGCCGTTAACAATATACATATGTATAAATATGTGTGTGTGTGTGTGTTTAGTTATACAAAATGTTAGTACTTATATGCTAAGCATACATGCAAGCGCATACAAACATATATATGTATGTGTGTATATATTTATGCGTATTCCAGTTATAGATCCAGTTTCCGACTCTCGGTCCCAATAAAATGTTTTCAAAAATGCTACCAATTACGAGTACGTACGAGTATATAAAATATTTCCGTTTCTTTTGGTGTTTTGCTTGCTGTACCAATCTAATGTTCAGACAGGCAAACAATTTGCGCACAAATTTGCTTCTGCCATGAAAAGTGTAACTCCGTAATAGAGAAACCCTATTACTGGCTCATTGGGTCGCATTCCTGTGCAAATTATTTGCCTGTCCGACCGTTGCTTATGTCTACATTGAGATTGCATCCGATTATTTTGATGTCTGCTGTCATTGGCATTATAAGTCTATGTAAGTTGCGGATATTTGGTCAACAGTGTGGCGGCGTGCTTTGATCCACCTCTGCGAGCAGTGGTTTGATTATCTTTAACATGGAGTTGCTGACAAAGAACCATTCTTTGTGTTTTATTAAATGGAATAGGAACGACAAAAAATGCTATAAAAGTACAGCTGAATATTGATTGGAACTAGAATTCCTCACATGTAATACACATGTTTTAATCAACACATTTTTAGTTTCACAAATCATTAAATGATTTTATTAAATTTTAAATGATTTCCGCAAGCGCCTTAATACAATTTCATGCTTTCAAACTTTGCATTTCATTAAAAAATTGCGCAAAGCTAGACAACCCTGTCGCTGTTTACTTAACTCTTTGATGAAGAACCGATGGGAACGAAACGGTTTGCAATTCTGTTGCTGTTTGCTCAAATATGAAGTAAAAACCGGAACAGGACCGTTATCGTTCAACAAAATTTTCATTTATTTATTCATTATTATTATTATTTTAAATGAACGTTTCTTATATTCTCTTAACTGCTCGCGTGCTCCGGTATTTCTCATTGAATAATTTTAGAAATGAGCGCATCATATGATGAAATGTTCTTTTTTTTGCTTCCTACAACTAAATTGAATTTAAAGGTATTAAGTCAGTAAGAAGAAGAAAAGTCAATAAATGCATGTTCAATAGTTCATTTCAATGAACCATTCAATTAACTGCACTAATGGCCTATTGGGAATGGGACTGAATGGGAATCTCCACAATAGGCGCTTGTTATTTGAATTTCAAAACCGCTCGCAGGGGCTTTGGGGCTTCGGAGAGCCGAAGAGTTTGTTTTTGATTTCGTTTTGGAATTTGGCTCGCAAACGTTTTGTTGTGAAACCGAACTTTGGTGCGTACAGTCTTGCCGTCAGTTATATACTATGTATATTGTGTATATTGTATGTGTTAGGCAGATAAATGGAGTGCTTGATTTCTCTTGCGAACTAAGAGGACGTCTGTGATTGTAGAACACTTTTGAGGAAACTGTTTGCCGTTTTTAGAACCAACAAAAAATGAACTAAAAGAAATAAAAGTAAATGTAAAGATTTTCAATTTAAAAATACATTTATTTGAATTATTTGATCGTTTTTATGTTGTTTTTCGCTTATGAAAATCATAATAAGAAAAAATGAAGTAAAACGTTTCATAAGAATTATGCAAAATGTATGTATTTGTTGTATTGGGCGTAATATAAAATATATAAAATAAAATATAAAGCATATACTTGTATGTGTGTATATACAGATTGTATGTGTTACATAATGTGTTTGCGTATCTCGCATTCCAAGCGGCCACTACTACTTAAGAGAACTTTGAGCGCTAAATTCTGGCAAAGGTAATCATAAATGAGAAAGTCCACGAACTGCTGCGAACACTTTTGGATGTCTGCTGGGCGTGGCTAAAAAATTAAACAATAAATCACAATACTTAGACTAATTAAAATTGTAAATTGAATCGAATCGTATTTCCATTTCGTGTCCTTTCCTGCGACCTCTCTCCTTATCAGTTTCAATTTTGGACTTATACATACGTTTACGATTAGTCAGTTTATTCATTATTCATTACTCGGCATGCATGCGTAATTGTTCAAATATGTCATTTCGTTTAACTAATTTATAGGTCGCATATATCGTATATTCCCCAAAAAGCACAATTATTCAATTACATTACCATTAGGTTTGTGTCGCTTTGAAAGGTATCAAAAATTTAACTATTTGCTACAGTTTTCTATATACTTGCTTGTGTTATATAGTAGGTAGTTGTTATACGCGATAAATACATAAATATATATGTAGTCCTGTTCTTCCTGCCTTAACTAAACATAAAACATAATGATATCATTTATATTTCAAGTATGCATTAAAAGTACAAAAGCAACATTCACTTTCTGGCGCTTCCCCACAAATATATGCCCCCCAATTGGGGCAGAATACATATAGGTGCCTCGGAAGGAGACATATTCGTACGTTGCCAGAGGTTATGCCTTTTTCTCATATCGTATCGTATCATATCATATCATAGATCATATATCATTAACTTTAGCTTTTCCGTAACGTACATATGTGCAAATGTGTGTGGTGTGGTGCTGTGTTTCAGTGTGTGTGTGTGTGTGTGTGCGTGTTTATGTGTGTGTGTCTGTGTGATATTCAGTGCCTGTTTAAGTCTAAGCTTCTTAGTCGGTGAGGGATTGGGCGACAAGCGCCAGTTGCTCCTTCAGCACCCGAAACGAGGGACGCTCCTCGGGACCATGAGACCAGCACTTCTTCATAACCTGCAACAACAAAGCATATAAATAGGATTAGAATCGAATCCAGTTGTCACCTTAATGCATCCATACTCACATCGTAGATCTCCTTAGCACAGGATTTTGGTTTCTCTAGAATAATGCCGCGTTGCACGCGCTCCACCACTTCGGTGTTCTTTAGACGGCCGTACGGCATCTTGCCGCAGGTGAAGATCTCCCACATGAGCACGCCTGCAAAATGGGAAAACGGTTTAAATACAATTCATTTGAAACAGACACACATTCATTTAAGTAACATCTGAAGTTCTGCTCTTTATAAAGATCCCTATAAATAAATATTTCAATGCTTATCGAGTTATATCATTCGATATCTAATAGAGTTCTTCAGTTCTACAATTCATCCTTCATAACTCACCGTAGGCCCAGACATCGCTCTTCGAGGAGAAGCGCGTGTAGTTCAACACCTCGGGCGGCGCCCATTTGATGGGGAACTTAGTGCCGCCGGAGCTTGTGTACTGATCGTCGAGAACGTAGCGCGCGAGTCCAAAGTCGGCGACCTTAACGACATTCTCGGAGCCGACCAGACAGTTACGGGCCGCCAGGTCGCGATGTATATAGTTGTGGCGCTCCAGATAGGCCATACCCTTGCTAACTTGGATGCACATGTCTAGTAAGAGGCCCATGTTGCCGATTAGGGTGTTCTCGTGCCGGCGCAAATAGTTGAGCAGCGAGCCGTGCTTCATGTATTCGGTGACAATGTAGATGGGCCGGTGCTTGGAGCAGACGCCGTATAGCTGCACCAGATTCGGATGCTGCAGTTTGGTCATAACCTTGGCCTCCTCGATGAAGTCGTCCTCGGACATGGTGCCCTCCTTCATCATCTTGACGGCCGTGTCGATGGAGCCGCGCCATTTGCCACGACGCACAACGCCGAACTGGCCAGAGCCAAGCTCCTCCATCAGCATCAGCTCCATAGGATGTATCTCCCACTTGTCGTGCGAGAGACCCGCTGTGGGCGGCACGGGTCGGTCGCAGGGTGACGACTTCAAGCGGCAGGCCAGGCCGCCAGAATTGTGACGGTGATAGTTAATCAGATCCGGTATAGTCTCGCAGCAGTGCTTCTCACTCAAATAGTACTCGCCACGCCCATTCTGCTTAATGTGGTAGTGCTTGACGTGCGACTGTGGACTGAGGAGGGGAGAGTTTATTAATGAGATTGCACGGAGCAGGGAGGGGGGGGGGGCTATTTATCCTTACACTTTGGTGTGCAGCGATAGCGTGTAGAGACCCTTAGTTGATGACTTCCGTACCACAAAACAGCCCTCCTTGTCGCCCTGCTTGAGCAGGGACTCGGCGCGCTGTCGCGACATGTCGCCCACATACCATCTGGAATGGAAAAATGAATTGATTGTTACCGTTGAGAGTTGGGATAATGCCAATAAGTTACTTACTCGTAGCGCTCCAGGCCGAGCAACGCCTTGGGCTTCACATAGTTACTCGGTATGTAGCCGACATTTCCCACCGCGTCCTTCACCTTCCACCAGTGCTCCTGCGAGTCGTCGATCACCTCGTACTCGGCATTCTGGAATTAGAGCGATAATTAGTGACGAAAGCAAGTAAGAGAATCTACGAAATAGTGACTTACCTTCTCGAGCGACAAATCGCCGCCCTCAATGGCCTTGAATGGATATAAAGCTACGACAAGCTTGACAAAGTGAGAATTGTCCTGCAAATGAACACATTTTAACATTTTACAACACTACTCATGCGAATAATAGTGGAGAGTGGAGACGTACCTTGGCTTTTGAGTTGGGCGTGCCGGGCGTTGGTATACCTCCCGGCATGGTTGCATCCAATAGAGCCCCGTTGCCGTTCAGAAGAGTCGGTGATTGCTTGAAAGTGCTCAACGAGGACTGCGAACGAGAGAGAGAGAGAGAGAGAGAGAGAGAGGGAAAGAGGGGGAGATGGAGTTAGAAGGAAGAGTCTGCGAATTTGTGCTCTTATCGCTCACCTGTGGCTGCAGTGCTGTCGGCGTCGAGCCACCGCCTCCGCCACCCCCTACGCTGCCGCCTCCGCCGGCTGAGCTGCCCGAACTGTTGTGCAGCAAACCGAATTGACTGTTGGTTGTGGAATTGTTTGGACTGATGCTGCGTGTTGAATTCTGGGCTGGAGAGCTGCCGTTGCCTGCAAGGAATGAAGAAAGAGAACAATTATCAATTGAGAGCATCAATGAAATGAAAATAGACCGGACTTTCTGGTGTGTGGAAAGTTCTTAAAAATAGTGCAATTGGAAGAGTACTCCCATTAATGGAAGAACAATAGAGATCGTAGCCAGGAATCCATGCTGAAAATTATCTTAAAACAGTAAAAACGGGTGAGCTTAGCTCTCAATTTTTCATTTGTTCAAGTGCAGGTTCCCTTTGTGCCATTTAAGCAACTAAAAACGAAAAAAGCAGTTCATCTCCTATACATGAAATTTAAATAGATATGGTGACTAGGAAGTTTCCAAAAACTAACCAATTTAACAGCGTTGGGAAACAAAGTTTCATTTTGCCTTTTAAAGCATCTCTGATTATAAACAATATCAAAGTATCCATGCTTTACGTCCCATATTCAGTTTAGAGAGCGCCAGAGAAACCTATTTTAAGCATCCCTGATAAATATGGAATATCAGATTATTAAAATATAGCATTTTGGTCGTGGGTAGTTCCCACTTCCCTAGCTTTACTCGCGTGAGCGCATCTTTATCTCCACCACCAAACGGTAGCAGAAGTTCGTTGCCTAAGTCTTTCGTTTCGGCGTCAGTCTAAGGTCAACAGACAGTCCGCCACATTTCCGATTGCGCACAAAAATTAATCACACGAGCATAACAAATGAAATCAAAGCAGATTCGGTTTCAGCTTTCAGGGCCACTCGTATGCCCCAAACACCTCCAGCCAAACAACAGAGGCAGCAGCAGACGCTCACAAATCGCGATTCTTTGGCAATGGGGCGAAGGCGTTCGCATCATTGGCCGAACCGAAGTTTAACGCTAAGTAATATTGACAATGATGCCAACGAATTGACAAGCTATTCTTACAAGATGGTTCAAGGCAGGTGTCTGGCACAGATCTGCGGATCCGGCTGGGCGTTCGCCCATCGGAAATGGCTCATTGCCTGGCATTACCGAACGAGCTCGGAGCAAGGAGAGACGACGCGCTGCCGCAAGCTTTTAATGGACTTAACGTGTTTTTAATTGCACGAATTTTAATGAGCCGCAGCAGACGTCAGACGGCAGATACTGAGACCTACAAAAGTCGTTAGTTAGTTGTCTTCACGAAGGTGGTGGATGATCGGCCGAGGGCGCTCAGTGGCAACAATCAAAGCTTGAGCCCCAAGCAAGGCAACCATAGAGGCCGATGGAGCAATTCAATGGCCCGCAATTAATAATTCTCTCAAATAGATGACATATGTCGTACACTTAATAGAAATGGATGTCGTTGCAATTTGAAACGCTGCCCTGAAGTTAGGCGGGTAAGTTGGAAAAGGAAACTTAAAAAAAAGGCGCAAGTTATATATATATTTTATATAGTACATATACTTAAGTACATATATATTAATGCATAATTGTGGGTATGAACGATCACAGAGGATATCTGTTCCTTTTCTCCCCCCTGATTAATGTAATTAGAGTTGATTCCTTACATCTGTGGAATCGAATCTAAGTATTTAAGTATTTTTATTTTCTTTTATTTGAGTCATTATTAGTCAGTCTTATTATAATGCCTAGTAGTTGTTGTTTAAAATGCATGTCTCTTGAGACACTGCAATACCTGATTAGAGTGGAAAAATACCTTCCATTTCTCACCATTTTCATTTTCATTCAACCACGACTTTGGACCAACAGCCAACAGCTGTCCGATGACGATGATTCAGTCGCTCTTTCCCATCTTCGCGCCCACAAAGAAGAGGGAAAGTTAGGGCACCGAGAGGCAAACGATGCGATAATAAGGACATCAAAATCAATCGCTGAACTCAATATTTAACCTCAATTAAGGCCGCAAAATGCCGTGTGATTTTTACGGCTCGTTTCGAGCGGGCGGCATTAACGTATGTGAGTTGGTGTTTCTGTCTGTCTGTCTCTCTGGCAGTCTGTCCATCTGTCTGTCTGTCTGTATTATGCAATATTGGCAACGTAACGAAAACTCAGCGAACGAGCCACTTGTAGATTGTAAAAACCGTTAGCCATAGCTTCGTTGAGCAACAACAATTTGAAGTGCGCGTGGGCGCCAAAATTGCCAGCTCGAGTGTGTGTTTAGTCATGGGTGTTATATTTTTTTGTACAAGTATGTCTCTCACGCTCATTTGAGAATAATAGTTCTGCTTCTCACCTTCAACAACACTACAGCGCAGCACCACCACTGCTGCCCACACTTGCCAACACTGGAGCGCCCTTTGCAAAACAACCATGCAATGATTGGCATTAGAGCCCCGTCGTTTCTATTCTTCATTCCTAGTCGCCAGCACTCAGTTGATCCTACGTAGCCTTAACAAATGTATTTGAATTGCGAATTAGACATGGGGAATTGGGGTGTTAATGATGCCAAATCTAATGCGGAAGGCTACACTTATAAGTCATTGGTCGATTCGATGCTCTGCGGTGGTTCGTTCGCCTTTGTCGAATGTAAAATTAATATTTTTTTGGTCTTTGTGTTATTACTTTCCTAATTTTGTTATAATTTGTTATAATTTCTTTCATTCATCAAAAAATATAATATTTTAGATGTTTATATTTTATAAAATCGTGCTAAATGGAATAATGTCCTGTAAACAATATATAACATTTTCAATTTTCAAACCGTGCTAAATCAAAACCGTGTAAAAAAGACCGTTTAAAAACAGAATTAGGTTTATTTGGCGACCAGTATTGAATCGGCTTCCTTACTGCGTGTGAAAATCCAATTGAAATTTAGATTTCTGATTCTCCCCAACCCGCTTTCTTAACAAAGTGTAATGCATATTTTGAATTAATGTTATTCGATCGCCTGGAATTGAACGTCAGCCCACCCATTCTTTTGTTAACTACTGGCTATCTCTTGTGAATCGACCCATAGTGCCTTTAGGGGCCAATTGACTCTTTCAGACTACGAGGTGCAACGAGCAATCAAAGCAGATCGATCGACAGTGTTCGTGTGTGAGTCTGACAAGTGGGGCTGTATATGTATGTGTGTGTGTGTGTGTGTTGGTGTTGGAAAACGAAAGTATGCCGATCAAGGCTATGTTCAACGCCCACCACACACGTTCACAGTTTTGTTAAAAGCCGGCGAGCCTGCCAGCCTGCCAACCTGCAGTAAAAGGCGAAAAAAAACTCACTCAGCCGCAGGCTCGCTCTTCGCATGTCTTTCCACCTTTCACTGCCTCTCTCCTACGCTTGCTCTCACGTCGCACACGTTGGCAAAACAACGAGAAGGAAAACTACATGTCGCTTATGATGATGATAACCAAAATAGAAAGTTTTTCCTTCACGCGCGCAATTTTTCATCGCCTTTTCCCACCACAGACAACAGCAACAACGTCGCCTTTGTGCGGTTCACCGCCTGTCTGCGAAATGCAAATGAAAACTGCCTGCAAGTTTTCCATTGTGATTTTTCACAGCCACAACAGCCGCATTAAATTTTCATATTTATGTATGTGTGCGTGTTTTTCTGTTTTTGTATGATTTAAATATGCAAACACCAGACGGAAGTCAACTTGAAGCTCAGAGCCCGCTAGTTGTTGCAACGTTCAATTTTCAAGAGGGGCGTAACCGTCTGCTTTTTGCTTGATAAACAATTAATTGCTCAATATGCAATTCATTGACAAAAATAATAGCTTTCCGTATTGATGGTTATTCTCTGGAAACCCGACTAATTGACTTTTTAATTACAATTATAATTCAATAGACCCGGAAAGAATTTCGTTTGGATTTGGAATCATTTTCAGATTTGTCGAAATTTAAATATATTCTCAAAATTGGGATGAACGAAATTTACATCGCAAATAGAAACAGACATTCTATTCTATTCACAAATTTCAGATTTTGAAACTATGCGAGTGTATTATTTTTTGAACACAAAATTGCTTGAAGCGAGTCTTTAGTAACAGTAAAGTAATAGTTTTAAAATTTTAACTGTTAACCCCTTTACGTCCTGAAATTGTAAAGAAGGAGAGAAGAGAGGACACTGGCAGGAAAACGATCCCAACCACTGAAGTAATCGGCCGCTTACAGGCTTGCGTGACATGGCTGCGTTAATTTTTAATAAGTAGCTTGACCCTTTGGTCCTTTTCAGGACTTTTGTTGTTACGAAGCATTATTTCCTGAGCTTCGAAGAAATCCCTACTTGGGACAGTTATTCTTTGAAAATGTTCGGCTCTTCTTGCTGCTCAACTGAACCTAACCTTGCCAATCATGAATGGCTTGATCCGCTTGTTTTCCATAACTTGTTCGACACTTTGGGGAAAATGTTTGGGCTATAATTTTTAATTTTGGGTTCGCGTTACCTTCGCGTGCTCATAATTGTGTGTAGATGGGTGTGCGAGATACCAACTCTTACATTAAAATGTCTGACGCTTTGTTGTTATTTTGAGTTAATTATGTAATTAGCTTGCATTGTTTACTGGCACTTTAGATTTCTATTTCGCTGTTGTTGTTGTTGTTGTTACAATTTGTTATGCAAATGAGGCACAGAACAAACAAGCATTGCAGTTGCAGTTCAATTTGCAACTCTCTGCCTCACCTTGAAGCCATATAAAAAGCAAAAGCAAACAGCAAGAAGCAAGAAACAAACATGTAATCGAACTGCAAGACTTTCAAACACGTGTTTGTTCGATGTGTTTGTTTTCATGCAAAATTTATTGCCAGTGGGCGGCAATTAAAATGCCTCAAAGAATCAAATGGCAGGTGAAACTCTAAATATTCACACATTTGTGAATGGCAGAGAGCCGCACAGTGGCGCAGATATGACTCATGTAAGTGGGGCGCCCACAGCTCCACACACACACACACACACATACAAATATACTACACTACACAGTACACTACACTACACTACACTATAATATACACACACATTCAGAAATTTGTTCAATGCCGCAAACCACTAAGGAAATACCAGACTTGACATTGTGCTCGTGTTGGTGCTGTCGTTGCGTGAACACATTCGCCG